ATCTAAGCTCCTGGAAGAGGCGAAAGACCCCTCGTCCACCGGCCTGGATCCACCAGTTATAGCTAGTATTCGCTGTTTGCTGGATGTATGTTTGTCACAAATACACTTTGAGTAAAAATTTGCAGAAAAAGTACGGTTGTTCGTTCAGACTTCCAGATGAGCTTAAGTTTCTCTAAAAAATAAATTCATTCAAAAATGAGTTGTTAGTAGCGCGCGTGAATTTACTAATATTTTTTTTTTGCAGTTCCGAATGTGACGAATGTTCAAGGTTCATCATATCCGGTAGTAAGCACCCAGTACCCTGTATTGAACTACGATTGTAACATATCACGAGAAAATCATCATGTTGAAGCAGCGCCAACAGTTCAAATCGCCAAAAGTGGACCGGTATTTGAGGGAACTATTGAAACAGAAAATATTTCGAACTGATTATCATAATAATAATCATCATCATACATATATCTACTGAATGAAAACAGTCCCAAAAAAAATCAGGCATTCTTAAAATTTTTACTTTTTTTTAATACAGTCTAAGTATGATTTGTAGCTAATTTCATCCCACTTCCATATATACTTAGAATACTTGTATTAACTCTGATTTTATAGTCGAATCCTCAAATTGTGCAGCTCGCAACTTTTCCATTTCTTTTGACTAGTGCTGAATGTCTAGCAGTTAGCCTTCTTCTGGCAACTCTGGTGTTCATTTCATCTCAAATTTGGGTTATTAAACAGGTGACGAGAAATAGCGAGACCGCTCTTTTTGAAATCTTTCATTGGAAAAAGTGAAAATTTACAAGAATTCTATCAGTTTGTTGTCGAATTCTAATGCATTTGTTAGATAATTGAGTAATTTAAACAACCGAAAATGTTAGAAATTTGGCAGCTAATTTAGTAATTTGAACGTCCAAAAATGTTAAAAATAACTGAGAGATTGGGAATTGTATCAGTGAAAAAGTTGCATTCCACGCGGGGCAATATGGCCAGTGGATTTATAGTTCCAGGTGTTGTTTTTGCATTTTTGAGACAGTTAAATTGTAACTTTTTTTTCAATGTTACGTTTCTGTTATCAGAGTGTAGGAACCGGTTGAACTATGATTTGTAAGCAGCATTTCTCGGACTTCCGATTAACCCAGCCCACTTTGTCTTGCCCGGGATGTTTTGCCTGGCATATTTCATGTGATAGTGAATTGGCAACGGCCGATGAGTTAGCTTAAAAAATGAGTTTAATTTTTTTGCTTTCGGAGTGGATATTCTCACTATAGTCCTGGTACCGCTGAGAATGCTGAGGCTCGAGTAAAATCCGACAGTTGATTTGTATATTTTTAGAAATTCACAAGAAGTTAAGTTATAGATGCTTTATCGATGGCTTTCGTCAAATTTTTGGAAAGGTTCTCATACAGGACAAGTTCATGGAAACTAAATTATCCCTCAGATATTTGAAAATTTTGATCCCACCTGACTTATCATCTTTGATAAGACGATTTGTAGCATCCAGGTTAACCCTGGAGGCCTAAGTGGTGAAGGCGCGATAGAATACAAAAAAAGAGAACAATGTGAGAAAAGAAGGAAACAGTGAGATAAGACGTTTCGGTCGATTAAGTCTCCCTTCCTCACTTCTGGTTTTGCTATCACTCCTCATGTGGTAAGCTTTTTGACAAGAATAGATAGATGTTTTTTGATCGCAAACAAAAAAAAATACCAAAATCGCCCGGGCTATCAGTGTGGGTATCCGCTACTAATGATATTACTGGGATTTTCCCACACGCCGAGCGCAGCTATGCCAGGACTTTCGGAGGCAGAATACGGCTGAAAAAAAAAAAAAAAACTGGCAAGTTGATGCTTTCGCTCAGTGATTACTGCTGCTGTTACTGCTTCTTCTTCTTCTAAAACGACGTGTACTGTTCTTCTCATTTGTATGTTGTGTAGATTTTTTTTTGTGTTTTTTTTACTAGTTGAATCTCGTAGTCCGGGAAGGCTGAATTGTGTTGTGTTGTGTGTGTTCGTTCGGCCTAATAATAATTTGTACAGTATTGCGGGTGACTGTCATCATTTAACTTTCTAGCATTTTTTTTTTTTTCTTTTTCATCTAACTTTCTAGCACTTTTTTTCCTTCCCATTTAACTTTCTAGCATTTTTTTCTTTCATTTGCGATAAGTTTTCATCCTATTTCTTTCTTTTTTGCTTTTGAAATTGTATAGAAAAACGAGTAAACTGTCTCTATCTCAGCCCCATTGTTGTATGCTATTCATCCTCTCACATATGATATGTGTATTCCCACGTGCACTCTTTTCAAAAGCAGGTAAGATTATCAATTATTATCATTCATTCGATGTTGTTATTAGTATCAATCCATGCTAGTCATCTATGCTCAACAAACAATACGACGGATCATCCGCTACGGCTTCTGTCTCCCTCCCCTTCTTTCAAACTTTGTTTCTTTTTTTAATGCGCAAATGTGTCTACTGCTTCTCTTCTATCGATTGTATAAGCCACAAAATTGTTTCCATATGAAAACAACAACACTAAAGCATTGTAATAAACGTGTATACCTTATCAGTTTAATGTTTTTAGCCGAAGCATTGTGAATAAAACATGTATCTTATTAGCTTTTTTTTTGTCAAGAAAGAAACTTAGCTGAAGCACTGCGACCAGCATGTATCCTATTAATTTGCACAAATTTCAAAAAACATTTGGTTGAGGCACTGTAATAAAACGTACACTTTAACTGAGCAGTTTTTTTTAAAATAATATTTGGCATTGAAATTACAGCACATGCGCCCAGTGACAGCAGTGTTGTCGATATTTCTTTCTTTCGAGGGTTGCTTACAAGCAAGCTGATGGCAGTTTTGACCCCTCAGGCATGTGTAAGTAGTAATTTGCCATCGAAACGAATCATGTATGGGACTGGCTTTTCCGTTGATAGAGCCGAGCTATCGAAAAGACACTCAAAGTAGAGCTATATGTCTTTTATATCAGACTCTTAGAATCTGTCTGATTCAAATATCTGGCCGATTAGCCTTTTCCTACCTTTTATGTGTTTTTTCATCTATGCAGTGCAAAAACGCATATTATCGAGGGATTGTCTGTATGTGTCTGTCTCTCTCTATGTGGGTCTGCACCGATTTTGTATTGGAAAATTTTGTATTGATGTGTTTTGTAAAAGAAGCCTTTTTCATTCAACTGGGTAGAAGGAAGGGGATAAGGGCGGGGAAGGGGGAGCAGGTAGGAGGGGGGAGAAGATCCAATCTGTTTCCGTACACAAATTCAATCGCCCTGAAGGTCTTTGCAGTCTTGGAACGGGAGCACTTTTGCGTGGACTAATCCCTGATCCTTTAGAGATTTCAGGATCAAACGTTTAACAGATGACGCGGGCACGTTTGCTGACGCGGTTTGTCAATCGGAATCCACGGAACATCGAGCGGCTTGGCCTACAAGCTCCTCCAGCTGGCTATGGGATGGACGTGGACCGAGATAAACATAGCTTCATTTACAGGTAAGCGCGACTTTGATCAAAATCATTTGAATCAGAATTCACGCGGTGAAAAATTTGGACTCTTAGGCACTGAATTTTTTTTTAAATCACGGTAATTTTTCGGGGGATTTTTTTTTCGTAACAGCTACTTATGGGCCAGTGGTACAATCGAAAAGTTTTTACAGTTAGACCAGCTATGGATTTTATCGAAATGTAACTTCTTAGATTATGCTGATGGTTTTCACTCTTATGCGCTCAGTTTGCTTTTTTTGTGTTTACAGCTAAGGGATGAAACACAGGTTGCTATCTAATATGTCCGTTGGTACATGTGGTATTTTGATCCATTCTCGAGTCTTTAATATCTCGTATTTTCGTTAAGTAGGCTTTTTTTCCTGGTTTCTGTGGCTAATGTTGCACCTTATGACTGTGTTGTGTTGATCCTGGCGTTTTTTTAAATTCTTCCCGGAGCCGCGGCTTGTGGTTTCTTCCAGTCTTTCTTCAATGTTCCCTCATAACGCCCATTATCGTCGCAAAAGAGAAAATATGCATTGGCAGATCTGAGG